AAACTGGTTCCTGAAGCATGCTGACAGGGCTCATTACCCAGATGTCTTACTTTCATACAAGGGCAGCGGTGCTGTCTACTGAGAAGGGCTGGCTACTGTCAGCCACGCGGCCAGGAGCCAGGGATGCTGGGAAACGCTCTATGACAGTGGTTCTCCTGTCGACCCTTGAGTAACATGGTTTTAAACTGAAAGGGACCCAAACAGTTGAAACCTGTGTCATTGAAGGATCAACTGTATTTTGAATTACAAATATTTAAAGAATGGTAGAGATTGGTTTTTCTCTCTTGTTACATAAAGTGTCCACATAACATCATTGATTTGGGTCTTGGCTAGGTGACCAGATGTCCCACTTTTGGCGGGACAGTCCCGATTTTTAACTAAAATTAAAAATTAAAATTAAAGTTAAAAATCGGGACTGTCCCGCCAAAAGTGGGGCATCTGGTCACCTTAATCTTGGCCCCCCCACCCCTGACACATTGGCAGCTGGGCCTTCTCCAGAAAACACTTGCTGACTGGGGCATTGGGGGAGAGTCCATGCTACTGAGCACCAGTTCCCATGGGAGTGGTTATTGTTTTGCCCCACAGAGATGAGCAAGCATATGTGAAGAGCCTACACACTTAGTACCCTCCATTCAAATACTTGAATCACACACCACTGTCCTCCTGTGCCTGAAGGGGAAATGGAAATGAACTCGGTGGAACTGGGGAAAGAGAACCAGATGACAGGGTGTCCACGCGCCGCCCTGAGCACGGCCAGTGGATGAGCACCCAGGGAAGGAATGCTAACTGCTCCGACTCCCGCCGGAGACACCTCAGCGAGGCCCTTGACAAAGGCCTGTCAGTCAGTGGAGGAGCCGAGACCAAGCTCGTGAGCACGAATCCCTCCTCCTCCACGCTGCCACCAGAATTCTCTCTCTACAGTGCAAACCAGCACGGCATTCCTCGCCTCAAGAACCAGCAACGGCTCCCCATGACCTCCAGGGTGAATCCCAACCCATGACCTGGATTCAGAGCCACTCATGGTCGCCCCCAAACTGCTCTTCTGACCACGTATCATCCATTTCCCCCTCGGGTGCCCCGAGGCCAGCCAGGTGCATCGGTGTCCCTCTCCCTCCCTGCTGATGCATCAGGGTGACATCCAAACCCCTGTCTTGGGTCAACAGTCAGTCCCTCTGTGGGAGGAAAGGACTGGAAACTTCATTCCATGAAATTTAGAGAGCCAGACAGACAGACAGACAACTCGTTTGGTACTCAGTAGCCCTTGCCAAAGAGTTGACCCTTCCCAGCTGCACTGGAGAGATGGTGAGAATAAAGGAATGCTGACTCATCACTCGCTTTTGGTTCGGACGCCTGGTGGGCTCCTGGCGAGCTGGGAGCTGGGACTGAGTCGCGTGCGGTGGCACGGGGCTGCCACACCACTCATTCCTCTGGGCAGAACCGAAACCACAAGCCCAGCACGTCCTCAGCGCCGTCGGCGGGAGTCGGAGCAGTTAGCATTCCTTCCCTGGGTGCTCATCCACCGGCCGTGCTCAGGGCGGCGCGTGGACACCCTGTCATTTGGTTCTCTTTCCCCAGTTCCACCGAGTTCATTTCCATTTCCCCTTCAGGCACAGGAGGACAGTGGTGTGTGATTCAAGTATTTGAATGGAGGGTACTAAGTGTGTAGGCTCTTCACATATGCTTGCTCATCTCTGTGGGGCAAAACAATAACCACTCCCATGGGAACTGGTGCTCAGTAGCATGGACTCTCCCCCAACGCCCCGGTCAGCAAGTGTTTTCTGGAGAAGGCCCAGCTGCCAATGTGTCAGGGGTGGGGGGGCCAAGATTAAGGTGACCAGATGCCCCACTTTTGGCGGGACAGTCCCGATTTTTAACTTTAATTTTAATTTTTAATTTTAGTTAAAAATCGGGACTGTCCCATCAAAAGCGGGACATCTGGTCACCTTAGCCAAGACCCAAATCAACGATGTCATGTGGACACTTTATGTAACAAGAGAGAAAAACCAATCTCTACCATTCTTTAAATATTTGTAATTCAAAATACAGTTGATCCTTCAATGACACAGGTTTCAACTGTTTGGGTCCCTTTCAGTTTAAAACCATGTTACTCAAGGGTCGACTGTATTTTCAATCCATGGTTGGGGATCCAAATACACAGAGGACCATTTTAAGTTATATGCTGATGTTCTACTGTATGGAGTGTTGGTGCCCTCAACCCCCATGTATGAGGGTCAACTGTACAACATTATAACTAAGCACATGTTTTTATAATAGTCCAGGCGTCTTCAAACTACGGCCCGTGGGCCACATGCGGCCTGCAGAGGAGTCTGATCCGGCCCGCCAGGTTTTTTGGGCAGTGAGCGCAGCCGAGGTATTACAGTAGGAATTAGTAGTTCATATAGTCCGGCCTTCCAGCTCTCTGAGGGACCGTGATCTGGCCCCCACTTTAAAAAGTTTGAGGACCCCTGGATTAGTCAGTTCAGAGTATCATTACAGGGAACTGGGAATAGCACAGAGCAGGTGGCTTAAACAACAGACATGTATTTTCTTACTGTTCTAGAGGCTGGAAGTCCAAGACCAAGGTGCCAGCAGGGTTGGTTTCTGGTGAGACCTCTTCCTGGATTTTGGATGGTCTTTCCCCTGTAATAATCAGGAGGAGAGAGAGAAGTTGCTCATCTCTGGTCTCTCCTCTTACAAGGACGCCAGTCCTGATTAGGGTCCTACCTTTACGATCTAATTCAACCTTAGGTACCTCCTTAAAGGTCCTATGTCCAAACACAATCACCCTGGGGTTAGGGCTTCAGCATGTGAATTCAACATAGAAATGTAGTAGAGACACAATTTAGTGCATAACACACATCTGCTAGTGAGAAAAAAAAAATTTTTTTTTTGAGGAAACATTTCACTGAATTGGAGCTGAAACATAAACCCATTCTTCTCTAGCCTACCAGAGTAAGCCATGGTCAGGTTTGGCCACAGCCACAGTTTGTCAATGCCTGATCAACATGTAGCAGAACAAACCTCAGCTTGAGACAAGTGTTCAAATCCCAGCCCTGTCTCCTATCAGCTGGACATAGCTGAGCAGTCGCTGAATCTCTCTGAACCTCAGCTTTGCCATATCTTGGGGGGAAATAATGAATTCCCTAAAAGGAAGAGTGCTCTAAGAGGAGCAACAATTCTCTGGGGTTTCTGTAAGAGGTATTAGTAATAATGCGAGATCTTGAGCACCGTGCTGAACCCAGACCTGCCCTAAGGAAATGCTAGCCCCACCACCACCATCGTCATCATCATCATCATTATCAGAGTTTTGAGAGGCAGGAGGTAACTCCAAAATGACTCAAAGGGTCTTAGGGATCGAGTATATACTCTGGGTAGGATGTGATGAGGCTGGCAATTTACCTCGGTGGTTTTCCTCCCCATTTAATGAGAACATCAGACAAACCCCTACTGTGCAGCGCTGCTCCAAACTGTCATCGAAAACAAAGAAAGCATGAGAAACGGGCACAGCCAGGAGGGGCCTAAGGAGATGGGACGACTACATACAATGTGGGGTCCCACAGGGGGTCCTGGGACAGGAACAGGACATTAGGCAAAAGCTAAGACTCCCACAGACCAGGTAGCTTAAACAATAGAAACTTAAAGTTTGGACTTCAGTTAATAATCACATTTGTATTATTAATTAATCATGACAAATATACCAAATTAATGTAAGCTATTCATATGTGTCACAACTTTTCTTTAAATCTAAAATCATCCTAAAATTTAAAGCGTATTAAGAAATCATCAAACGTGGGCAAAGATCCATTCCATGTACGAGGTGGGCCAGTGGGTTTTCACGTAACGGGATGAAAGGCTGGCTGAGATGCTTTCAAACCCCACAGTAACTGACTTGTGGGAAACTACCACTCGAATTTTAATGTAGAATCAAAGAAAACTGTATCCAGTTTTCTGGGAAGGTGATTAAAACACCCTCCCTTTCCCAGCTTCCTATCAGCATGCGGCCAGACTTTCTTCATGGAGTTCAAAGAAAACAACATCATGCAAAACAGGAGAAGGGAAGGCAGCCGGCGTTCAGAACCCAGAGGCCAGGCATCAAAGGAATTTGCAACACTGTAGAGCAGGCCACTCTTCTCACTAAACTTTTCTGTTTTGAAAAATAGGATGATTTTTTAAAATATATATTTTATTGACTTTTTACAGAGAGGAAGAGAGAGGGATAGAGAGTTAGAAACATCCATGAGAGAAACATTGATCAGCTGCCTCTTGCACACCCCCCACTGGGGATGTACCGCAACCGAGGTACATGCCCCTGACCGGAATCGAACCTGGGACCCTTGAGTCTGCAGGCCGACACTCTATCCTAGGGGTGTCGAACTCAATCAGAGAAGGGGCCAAAATCTAAAATCCAGCCTAAATCGCGGGCCGAATGGTTTACTGAACAGTCATAAACTGTCATTGTGATGGAAACGCAGCGGAGTGCAGTGATGAGAGCGTGGTGCGGGCCACATTGCAAGGCCTGGCGGGACGGATTTGGCCCGCGGGCCTTGTGTTTGACACATGTACAGTCTATCCACTGAGCCAAACTGGTTTTGGCAGGATGATTTTTAATTACAAATATTTATGTGAACATACTGGTTTATTGTCTAATGGATTAATATGTAATTATTTAATTTTTTCCTCAGTTTTCATTTCTCTGATGGTAAATATCAATAACTATCACTCTATGAACAAAAAGTTATTTTATACTCTTTTTTAAGAGTGTAAAGCGTCCTGAGAACAGAAAGGTTGAGAGTTACTGTGCTAAACAAGTATTCTATTTGGTCCTCACACCAACCTCCTAAGTGGGCACTGTTAACCCACTTTGCAGAGGAGAAAACTGAGGAACGACAGTAACTTGCCCGAGGTCACCCAGGAAGGAAGGAGGCTGGAGTTGAAGCTGTCCCCTGTGTCACTTTGCTCTCCTGACTACCTTGTGTTTTCCGGGTCCCCCCTCTCTCCAGGTCTGTGAGCTCTGCAAGGGCGTGGCACCTGCCGACAGCCCCGTGGTCTACTCGGACAGGGCCGGCTACGACAAGCAGTGGCATCCCGCCTGCTTCGTGTGCGCCAAGTGCTCCGAGCCGCTGGTGGACCTCATCTACTTTTGGAAAAACGGGGCACCCTGGTGCGGCCGCCACTACTGCGAGAGCGTGCGGCCCCGCTGCTCCGGCTGCGATGAGGTGAGAGCCCGCGTGGCTGCAATGGCGGGGGAGGACCCGGAGGCCTAGGAGCGTGTGGCTTCCCTGAGGATGTGACCCGCAGAGAGGAAAACTGAGGCTCAGGTTGCACTCCCTGCTCTCTCCCCATTTGGCATCTGGAAAATGGGGCCAGCATCCCTTTGCACCCCTAGGGTTGCTGGGATGGGTCAAATGCGGAGTGTCTGTCCAGCCTTGGCCTTGGCCCTTAGTAGCTGGTAGGGTGTAACGGGAGGCAGGTACCTGGCTCCGCATCTATTGCTTGTGTGGTTGCCCAGCTCCTGTGCCTCAGTTTTCTCACTTATACAATGGGCAGGATAACAGTGCCCAGGCCATGTTGCTATGAAGGAACGTGAGATACTGAACGAAGATGCTTGACATGGGCCTGGCCACGGAACTAATCAGTGAGAGCTGCTGTTAGTCTTAGGGTAAAAGAGTATAATGTGATGTAATAACACAACATTAATGTACTATAATACAGTAGCTAGAGGTGCTATGAGAGGGGTTCGATGCTCCAGTATAGGTCAAGGCTAGAGGAACTCTAAGGTATGTTAATAATGACAACTGTGACTACTGTCTGCATGCCGATGGCGACAGGAAACACTACCTTTATGGTTAGGCTGTCCGCACCAGGGTAGTTAATATTGTCTTAGAACGTTCTAGAGACTAGACAAGAAAAACCTATGGATGGTGGAGGACTTTTTCTTTTTTTTTTTTTTTTAATATATTTTATTGATTTTTTTAGAGAGGAAGAGAGAGGGATAAGAGAGTTAGAAACATCAATGAGAGAGAATAATGGATCAGCTGCCTCTTGCACACCCCCTACTGGGGATGTGCCTGCAACCAATGTACATGCCCTTGACCGGAATCAAACCTAGGTCCTTTCAGTCCGCAGGCCGATGCTCTATCCACTGAGCCAAACCGGTTTCGGCTGGAGGACTTTTCTTTACATCGAGAACCTACGATGCCACCGTCACTTGCACCAAACACTGTACTCAGTGCCTCAGACTGGTGTCCGACTTCTCCATGGAGGCAGGCCAAGGTCAAAACAAAGTCAAGCATAGGCTGACCCACTGTCCTCCAACCCGCCCTTAACACTCTGTCTCTAGCAGGCTCGTTTCCTTTGTTCTCCTCCCAGATAATATTCTCCGAGGACTACCAGCGCGTGGAGGACCTGGCCTGGCACCGCAAGCACTTCGTCTGCGAGGGCTGCGAGCAGCAGCTGAGCGGCCGGGCGTACATCGTCACCAAGGGCCAGCTCCTGTGCCCCACGTGCAGCAAGTCCCGGCGCTCCTGAGGGGCTGCCCGTCCGCGGCCGGGACCCGCCGGCGCCCACGGAGAAGGAAAGCCGGGTGTGGGGAGGCCCTCCTACGGCCTGATGTGACAGCCAGCCGGCAACAAAACCCGCGACGTTGTTTTCTGAGAGAATATATACGCGCATATATTCCAGGTTGGGTGGAGGTGGGTCCTTGAGGGTCGATAGTTTTCAAAGCCAGAAATGACCTGAGAAGTCTTAGGACGGAGTTTTCCTTTGTCTTGGTGGCTGTTGTGTCCCAGCTACCCACTAGAGACTCAGCTGGCATCCCGCACGGGGCCTCCGGGAGGAGTTTCCCAGAATGCAGTGCTGAGTGATGGAACCGCGTAGCTGTAGAGTGCGCGTGCTTTTTCGTGACCCCGGGAGCAGGCTGGGATCCCAACGATCGATCGATCGTTTGTTGCCTCCTCCCCAATGGAATCTGAATTTTAAATAAAAACCGTTTCGGCATGATAAACACAGCAATAAACATTGTATGCAGTCCGCACATGCCCTTCTCCAGTTATTGACACGAAGGCCGTTGTTTCCTGGCACCCGTTTAGCCCGTTCCCAGGATGCTGGTGCTGGCACAGGCTCTGGAAGTGCGGGTGCCCCTCTTGGCCGGGTTTCCCCAGATCCCGGATGGAAACGTGTGTTATGTTTCATGGTGTCGCAACAAGCAGCCTCCTGGGGACGATGAGCTGCTTGAAGAGAAGGGACCCCACTTCCTGCCTCAGAGCCCAGCAGGTAATGGGGGTCCCTCTGGGTGTACGACCAGGTTGAGAGTTGGGGAGCCGCCAAACACGGCCATGGCACACGGTGACGTGTGTGGACAGACCCTGCCAACTGAACATTGAATGGGCAGATACGCTAGGTGTTGGAGTGCGTTTTTCTCTTTTTATGACCTCTCTGAGCATGTGCTGCTTCCAAGTTAATTTCTCTCCCACCGTTTCTAAGAAAAGGCATCATATATATATATTTTTTTTAATTGATTTTTTTACAGAGAGGAAGAGAGAGGGATAGAGAGTTAAAAACATCAATGAGAGAGAATCATCGATCAGCTGCCTCTTGCACACCCCCTAACTGGGAATGTGCCTGCAACCAAGGTACATGCCCTTGACCGGAATCGAACCCAGGACCCTTCAGTCCGCAGACCGACGCTCTATCCACTGAGCCAAACCAGTTTTGGCAGAAAAGGCATCTTTTTCTGCTGCAGATACAAGGCATGGAAAGGCACGAGCCTTAGGACTCCCAATCCTGTCTCCAGACCTTCCTTCTTTCTTAAACTTCCCCTCTGTTGCCAAGTCTCCTGAATTTTATCACCAGATTTCGCTCTGGCTATCTATCTGCAGTCCCCACTTCATATGCTTTGCAAGTTTGGTCAAAGCTACGGCAGTACCCTCCTGAGCTGGCGTTTGCTGCCGCCTCCTCTGCAGCCAGACTCGGTTTCCTGCCTTTTCGCATGTCTCCTCGGGGAGGAGATGTGAGTGCCATCCTTGCCCACTCTCCTGGCTCCCCGCCGCCTCTCAAGTTAAGAACCAAGTACTCACCCTGACGTTTGAATCATCCCAAAACTTGGCTTGTCTTTCTGGTCTTATGACCCATAATTTCTCTAGATTTCTCTTTGCCTATTTCTTTGACACATCCGGAAACTCCCTTTGATCAAGCTCCCACCCTCTCTCCTCCCCTCCCCTCCCATGCTTCTGCTAGCTCTGAGCTGGTTACATGAAGACCAGTTCCTTCTGTCCAATTCTACCTGTCCTAAGAGGTGCTTCTCAAGTATAAGCTGCTTCTCAGTCACTTCCCAGAAGCATCAATGGGATATTCATTCATCTACTCACTCATTCATTCATTTCACAAATCTTCAGTGAATAATACAGCATTCCAATTCCTATAGTGGGTACACAGGTATAATAAACAAATAAACAAACAAAAAACAACACTGGATTTTACAGTCTACGGGGGAAAGTCTGGGCAAATATCCCACAGTCAATGTGAAACTACATCTACTATGGATGCTGTAAAGCTGAGGTACATGTTGCTATGTTGCTATAAAGGATATGAAAGATATTGGACCTAGTCACGGATGTCAGATATGCTCTTAGAAAAGTGACACTTAGAACTGGTAAAGAGTGAGTACACCTGAGTAGGCAAAGAGGAAAGGGACAGTTACAGATGGATATGAGGACAGCATGTGCAAAGGCCCTGGGGCTAAAGCGGCACCAGTTTATTCAATACTATTAACTGCTTTTATTTATTTTTATTTTTTTTTATATTTTTATTGATTTCAGAGAGGAAGGGAGAGAGAGAGAGAGAGAAAGAGAGAGAGAGAGAGAGAGAAACATCCATGAGGAGAGAGAATCATGGATCGGCTGCCTCCTGCACACCCCCTACAAGGGATGGAGCCTTCAACCCGGGCATATGCTCTGACTGAGAATCGGAACTGGGGACCTCCTGGTTCATGGGTCGATGCTCAACTACTGAGCCACACTGGCCGGGCACTGCACCTGGTTTTAGAGATACAGTGGTGAGCATGGCCCTTGCTTGGGGCTGAGAGAAGACTGCTGTAGCAGGAGCACAGAGGGTGACAGGGGACTAGATTGGCACTGAGGCCTCAGAGGGCTCCAGCTTTGGGGGTGACAGGAAAGGCTGGTCTCTGTTCGAGAAGCAATGGGGAGCCTTCAGAGAGCTGTAAGCAGGGGTTGGTGACAGCTAGACAGGAAGGTTACCCATTGCCCCATCTCTCCTCTGCTGGAGCCCAGCACGATGCCTAGTGGGTTCTGTCCACACGCTGGTGGGTGGCCCACACAGACCCCACCCAGAGCATGCTCCTGCCTTCCCGAATAAGCTTATTCTCCTGATTTATTTACACATTTATATCAGTTTGGAGTTACAGATGTCTTTTTCATCCAACTGTTTACCATCTGTCGCTATCATTATTTATTTTGATGCTCACATTGTTCCAAATTTGGCCAAAGAAAACTCCTTCAAGTTGGCTCTGTCTCTCTGGCATGTCCCCATCCTTCTTTTTTCTTTTTTCTTTTTTTTATATAACAGACAATAGCTCGTTCTTTCTTTTCAATACATTTTTATCGATTTAAGAGAGGGAGAGAGATAGAAACATCCATGATGAGAGAGAACCATGATCAGCTGCCTCCTGCACACCTCCTACTGGGGATGGAGCCCCACAACCCAGGCATGTGCCCTTGACCGGAATCAAACCCGCAACCTTGCAGTCTGCAGATCGATCGATGCTCTATCTACTGAGCCACGCTGGCCAGGGCCCTATTATTCTTTTTTGTTATTTTTTATTGATTTTTTTTTTTACAGAGAGGAAGGGAGAGGGACAGAGAGGATCATCGGTGTGAGAGAGAATCATCAATCAGCTGCCTCGTGCACACCCCCTACTGGGGACATGCCCGCAACCAAGGCACATGCCCTAAACCGAACCGAACCCGGACCCTTCAGTCCACAGGCTGATGCTCTATCCACTGAGTCAAACCGGCCTCAGCTCGTTCTTTCTTTTCAATGTATTGACTTAAGAGAGGGAGAGAAACATCCATGAGGAGAGAGAACCATGATCGGCTGCCTCCTGCACACCTCCTACTGGGGATCGAGCCCCGCAACCCAGGCATGTGCCCTTGACCGGAATCAAACCCAAGACCTTGCAGCCCACAGGTCGATCAATGCTCTATCCACTGAGCCACGCTGGCCAGGGCCCCGCCATTCTTTAAATACAAATTTACATTCTGTCTCCATAAGAAACGCCCGGCTAGGAGTCCGAGGGACACAGACACTCGGGGGCGCGCACGTTGCTCCCCGCCTGCCCTGCGCCCCCCACCCCCGTGCACGCGCTCACGCTCCCTGCCCACCTCCCGCCAGTCCGTTAGCCCGCTGCCCCCTTAGCCGCTCGCCCTAGACCCAAGTGGACCGGGGTCATCGGTGCAGAGAGGCCGGAGTCAGAGCATCTCCCTTCCTCTGAGAAGGTCACGGCCCTTTGCAGAACTCGTGCCCCCCACCGCGCGCGGGCCCGGCAGCCCTTTGGTAAGCCATGGCCGCCATCCAGAAGAAGCTGGTGATCGTGGGCGATGGAGCCTGCGGCAAGACTTGCCTGCTGCTCGTCTTCAGCAAGGACCTGTTCCCGGACGTGTACATCCCCATGGTGTTCGAGAACTACGTGGCGGACGTGGAGGTGGACGGGCGGCGGGTGGCGCTGGCGCTGTGGGACACGGCCGGCCAGGAGGACTACGACCGCCTGCGGCCCCTCTCCTACCCGGACACGGACGTCATCCTCATGTGCTTCTCCGCCGACAGCCGCGACAGCCTGGAGAACATCCAGGAGAAGTGGGCCCCGGAGGTCAAGCACTTCTGCCCCAAGGTGCCCATCGTCCTGGTAGGGAACAAGAAGGACATCCGCACCGACAAGCGCGCGCGGCGGGAGCTGGCCAGGATGAAGCAGGAGCCGGTGAGGCCGGAGGAAGGCAGGGAGATGGCGCACAGGATCGGCGCTTTTGCTTACGTGGAGTGCTCGGCCAAGACCAAGGACGGCGTGCGGGAGGTTTTCGAGATGGCCACGAGGGCCGCTCTGCAAGCCAGGCGTGGGAAGAAAAGGTTCGGGTGCCTTCTTTTGTGAGCGGCTTGCAGGCACAGCTTCCCGCAGTTCGTTTGGAAGTGCTGCTCTTTAGTCCTCTGTGTGACTCCTGGCCTTTTCCGTTACCTATATCTCAACGGAGATTGCAAATCACAAGTCACCTTGCCACCAGCATTTAGAAGCCAACCATGATTAGTGAGGATCCAGCCCGCCTGTCCCTGACAGCTCTCTAACAGCCCTCCTCTGCACGCCCACCTGACACACCAGGCACTGATTCAAGGAATTCCTTAACTTCTTTGCTTCTTTCTAGAAGGAGAAACGGTAACCCTTGTGAGTTAGGCTGTCACTGCTTCCTAACCGACATGCCTTGCCTGTCATCTGTCAGCTGCAAGGTACTCCGGTGAGCTGCCACTTCAGAGCTTTCCTCCTGAGCAGATGCGCTGTGGGGCCTCTGGAGCGGGCATCCAGTTTTTTTTAAAACGCGCTCAGCCAGAGAGGCCAAGTTCATGCAGCTGTGGCCACGTCACAGTTCTGTGGCTCCGTGTTCGTTACCTTATAGTTACTGTGCAATTAGTGCCACTTAATGTGTGTTACCAAAAATAAATAAATATATCTACTCCAAACTAGATGTAGTACTTTTTGTATAATTGGATTTCCTAATACTGATATCTGTCACCCCCACAGAAAGTGTATTGTGGTTTGTTTGTTTTTTTTGTTTTTTTTAAAGGAAGTGTATTGGAAAATAAAGTCAGATGGAAAATTCATTTAAAAAAAAAGAAAGAAAGAAAGAAAGAAAGAAAAGGAAGAAAGAAAGAAAGAAAGAAAGAAAGAAAGAAAGAAAGAAAGAAAGAAAGGAAGGAAGGAAGGAAGGAAGGAAGGAAGGAAGGAAGGAAGGAAGGAAGGAAGGAAGAGAGAGAAATGCCCTGCTCATGTTGTATTTTCTTTAGCCCCGCGTTGGAATCTGGGAGTTCCCTCATCTGAAGCCGGGGCTGTTGGATTGAAACTCCTGGTGCCGCCTTAGAACTGTGAGGAGACACAGGAACCAAGCCAGTCACAGGATTATGGGGCTGAGAGTGAAACAGAGCGTAGGTGCCTGGTCATGTCCTCTAGCCAGTAACCTCGGCTCTAGGCTTCTTACACGAGAATTATTTCTTTATTCTTTAATGCAGGGTGATCGACTTCCACTTTGTCTGACAAACTTCTGTATCAGATGGTTCCCCATCAGTGGGGGTCTTGGTCATTGTAGCCAAAGACAATGCGACTGGTCCCCAAGAAGTGTCACGTTTCAGCTCGTGTGACTCACACATTTCTGAGGCCATGCTACTCCGTGATTGATTTGGGTTTTTAATCAAGTCTGTCCCATGGTGATGCAGACGACAGTGCCATGAGCACTGACTCACTGCGTTATCAGACTTCGGCTCCAAATGTTTGGCTTCGAACAGGAGAATGTTACATGAAAGACAGGACTGCGAGGGCATCTGTGCTGGCGGCTGACACGTCTCAGCCATTGACAAGCCAGTGCTGGCGTGGCCGCCGCCGAGGGAGGAAGATAAGAGGCTCGCCCTTTGATCGCAGCTGCTGTTTGCATCCAGTCAGATTCTCCTCGTGTGAAGCAGAATGATTTCTTTGTTTGAGTCCTCTATTCTGTGATGATAAAGCATGCAGGCTCCGGCATAAAATGTTCTTCTGTTCTGAGTCTGGGACAAGGTTGGCTCTTAAACAACAGAAGGGATTTGGACTGCAAACAGAAGAACTGTTATCCAGGCCTCTCTTGTGAAGGAAATCCAATTCAAACCAGTTTAACACTTACCCCCTCCCATTCCTCCCCCCCCCCCCCCCCGCCCCTGTGCCCCAATTAGAGGGAATCCATATTCTAGAATCTACTTTCTGGTCAGAAAGTTCAAGAGAATGGCTAACTTCAGGAACAACTAGATCCAGCGGTTCAAATGATGAAGTTCATTCCTTTCTCCAGCTCTCCCCTCTGTTTTCCTCCACGGCGGCTCCACCCTCTGGCAGTTCACCCAGGTGGCAGGAGACGAGGCCTCCACAGCAGGGAGGATCCCTTTGGCCCCGGGAGCCAGTGACCCCAATTAGCGGGAAGTCTCTCCTCCTGGGGCTTTCAGGGAACGACCCTGGTTGGCCCAATGTGGGTCACGTGCCTTTCTTTTGACCAATCACTGCACCTAGATGGCCAGGGTACTGAGATTGGCCTTGATCATGGTGCCAACCAGCTGACTTGATGGGGAGGAGAAAGGATTCGAAAAAGGCAGTCACTCCCGAATTGGATGAAACAAGCCCCTTGTGGAAAGCAGGCTTGTGAGAGCTGGAGGTAGCAAAGAGAAGTCTTCTAGGCAAAGCGGAGCTGGCTCAGGTCTCTGAAGAGAGGGATGATTGGTACAATGCACAGGAAAGTGGTGGTCAGAGAAACTGGAAGAAAACGAACCCACGGAACCTACGGGACTAAGACTCCCAGGATTGGGGAATGGAGGCACCTGGGAGGCCGGGAAGGGCGGAGCAAAGAGCAAGGATGGAAGCCAAGTCACAAAGCTCCTCCTGAAGTACCGTATTTTTCGGACCATAAGTGGGGGGAAAAAGTCCCTGCGTCTTATGGTCCAAATATAGCCTACACATATACTTTTTAAAAAAAAAGTTTTTTTACTTGCCCGGCTCTGTGTGGTCTCTGTGTGCTTGCCCGGCTCTAAAATGGTTCTGAATGCTGCTGTTTACTTTACAGGGTTGATTACATGTGTTTATGACTGTGATGTTGGGTTTTAATGCACATAAAATATTTTAGGACACTATTTGTTTCAGAATCTTTTTTTCTTCATTTCCCTTCTCTAAAAACTGGTGCGTCTTATGGTCCGGAGCGTCTTATAGTCCGAAAAATATGGTAATTATCGTGCCACTAAAAATCGTATTTGTCTTGATATATATTTTTTTAATTACTGGCAAGGAAAGGCTAATGTTTTTAAAGGCGGCCTAAATAAAATGGTATTCCCTAAAGGAAATGTCTACAAGGTCTTTTGGTGGCCTCCTCTGCTTAATTTTATGGATGGTGATGGAGACTTACTAAACTGTTTTTATGGGAAAAATGTAATAAATGGAAGGGATGTACTTCCACGCGTGCAAATATGGAAAGTTTTAAAATAGAAGAGTGACACAAGCAGCAAATGATCCCAATAGGCTAAGATTATGCAGGCTGCTGGCTTGGGTTCCGCTACTTAATCAAATATATAAATTATGAAATATTGCGGCAAAAGGTGGCCAGCCTTGGCCCTACAAGGGAATGGCCTGTGCTTCGGTTGAAAGGGAGCACTGTGGCGTTCACCTTCCGCTGGTACGGGGAGGGGCAGTGGGAGCAGACAGGTGGGCATCCTTGGCCAGCACCAGGGACCACATGGTGCCAGAGTAGATGGAAGAACATGCTCCCGCCAAAGTCCCGGCCAGACAGGAAGGTGTCTGTCAGCTCGGTGCATCGCCTGTGTGGTCCCCCTCTGCAGGAGAGGCGTCTGTGATTGCCTGGACAGGAGTTTGCAAACAATGGGCTTTTGGCGTTTGTTCCCATCTGAAAGGCCATCCTTCTGCCACCTCCTCCAGGAAGCCCTGGGTGATTCCTCCAAATGCTCAGTTTTAACTGACTCTGTGACAAGTTTGCCCTTGACCAGACTATACTATGTCAGACAACTGGAAACTTGCTCACTAACTAGTTCATCCTTTTACTCATTCATTCCGCATGCATTTACTCAGCACCTACTATGCCCCAAGCAGAATCCCAGCTTGTGCTCCTTCCTGAGACAGTCCCAGCCTCTTTGCAAATAACTTGAGCCATCTTATCTCTCCCAGTCACTCGCCAAATAGGCCCCACGTGCCTCGCAGGGCAGTGCTGTCACGGACAGCGTGGGCCTTGGAGCCAAATGTCTCCGTTCTCATCCTGACGCTTCTGTGCCGCCTTAGAGAAGACACGTGGCTTTGTTCCCAGGCTTCTTCGTTATAACATGGGGAGAGTAGTAACATTTGCCTCACAGGGTTGTTCTGAGGATTTGTGCATGTTTAAAGGTTTGGAACAGCTCCTGGCACATGAGTGTTCCCTAAGCCCCGGCTTTAAGTCCATCAGCAAACTACCTTTCCTAGTCACTCAAAACTTCTAATAAATGCTCAAATATGACCTGCCCACAGAGAACATTTCAGCCTCTTGACAAATACACACATGTGCACACACACATTTATACACACACATGCACACACACACACACACACACACGGTGAATGTGCTACCCCTGGCATACAGATTACTTTAAGCAGAAAGAAAGCCCAACAAGCTCACGAGGGGTTGCTTTTTACCTTCTACTTTACCTGCCTAAAGGAACTCAGATAGAAAAATCCATTTCAGGGAGGAAACTCGGCATATTCTCTCTGGCATATGTGAACTCGTGTGGCAGACTGGGAGGGCCATGCACCTTACCCTCCCTCAGTGTCCCCTCTGTGGCCAAGCACGTGTTTGCTTTCCTCAGCTGCCTGTCAACTACCGACTTTCTCTTTGAAGTCCCAGACCTCTGCCTCCCTCTCCTTAGTCCAGAATGGCATGTAAGCCTCAATGCTCAGCGTGTCCTCAGGTCTCACATTCCTGGGGAACCCCGTGTGCACACATGTAATGAGTTGGTCACTTTCTCCTGATGATCCATCTCTTGTGAACTGATTATTAGTCCAGCCAGAAGAACTTAGAAAGTGGGGAAGGAACATTTCTTTCCACCCTACAATACTTCTTCTTGGTCTGACTGCCATTTCAAAGCCAGGCATTGCCTGTCCTGTATTCCTACTGTCACACACACAACAGGTCCCACCCAGTCTTAAGAGAGAACCTGCGAGAAGGCTGGGAGACGTTCTACTAATAAGATCATACAGTTTCTATCTTGTCTGAGTCCCCCCAGGTGTAAAGGCCACTCAGAAACCAACTTGGAAAGTGGTCTGCTGCTAACCTCACACCAGGAAAGGGACATTCCCGAGAAATGCGTCTCAGAAGCAGCGTGTGTGGGAGTTCCCTGGGGAGCTCGTTAACATGGGGGTTCCGGTGCAGCAGGTGTGGGCTGGGCCTGAGAGGCTGAATTTCCGAGGAGCTTTGGCATCCAAGCCTGGGGGCCCTGAGGGCCACACTTGGAGTAGCAGGACCACCGCCTGTAAGGGGCCAGGTTGTTGAACCCCTTGCCTGAGAAGTGGGGAAATGGAGGCCGGAGAATAGAGTGGTTTTACCGGGGCCACACAGCAAGCTCAAGATACAGCCAACACCCTTCCTGGTCCCCTAACGGGGGATGGGGTCCCCTGCCCACAGGACTCAGGCAGTGAGGTAAAGGGACGAAGCAGGCCAGGTGCCAACTGCAGGGACCACGCTGCCCCTATGCCTGCTGTTACTTCTCTTTTTACAACATCAGCAAAACGTGCCTGTAGGCTATGACAGTCTGCAGGTGGCCAGATTGCATCCCCCAATAACCTCTACCAGGACTAGCAAACTTTCCCTGTGAGGAGCCGGAGAACAGCGATTTTAGGCTTTGCAGGCCATGTGGCCTCTGTTGCAACTACTCAGCTCTGCTGCTGTAGCAAAAAGCAGCCACAGACAATAGTAAACAGAGAAGCATGGCTGGGTTTGAATAAAACTTTATTTACAATATCAGGAGCTGGGCCTGATCTGGCCTGTGGGCCATAGTTTGCTAACCCCTATCTTAGCTGATTAGACAAACTAGAGGGGATGGGGGAGGTGGTCTCTATTTAT